TAAAGGGGAGTGAGGACATAACATAAAAATGATGCAGCAAGCATGCAAAGGGGGGTCAACTTAAGCTGTAAGGTTTAATGAAAACGCAGTGAGTGAATTTCAAGCAGGTGAGGAGGTGTAGTAGAGGAAAACCATCAGTGTGCTAGCTTCACATCTCTAATAAATCACTGAAATAAGGAAAATCCAGTGTTCTCAGTTTTGTGTCTTAACATACCGAACAGCATGTTAATATAACATGTTAGGCTGCAGTGTTTCAACATGATCCCATTACACTTTTCAATGCCTAAACTTTTGTTTAACAGCACAGCCACTTGAACTGTTCCCAGTGTGATTACTTTTCTAATGTCCAAGGACATATTAATTTAAATGTGAAATTTTTAATTACCAACTTCCATCCACTGCAGACACTTCATTTTTAAGATGTGTTACTGTTGATTAAACATATTGTAATGCAGCAAACACTCAATGCAAAATAAGTTTAAATTGCATCCTTGTTGGATTCCTGTAAGTGGAATTAACCAAAATAATGAGCAGATCTTAGTTAAAAGAAAACAGACTGATGAGGGTCTAATAAGACTGTAGAGGTTGGATATCGCAATAAGAAAAGCGAAACGAAACGTTAGAAAAACACACAAAAAAAAATGTGCTTTAAGGTATGGGAACATTCATTTGTGGTTTCATGAATGCTTTCCCCAACATATTACTAATGCTAATAATGCTTATACCTGATGGGGGCACCATGATGGTGGTGCAGTGCTCAGTACTGCTGGTTCTGGTTTTAAATGGTCTGGTCAGGTGAGGACTTTCTGTTTAGTTTGCATGTTCTTCCTGTTTCCCTTTGTGCTCCCTCCCTTCTCTCTGGTTTTCCTTCCACAGATTTGGATGTTAGGTTACTGGTGAGTCTATATTGGCTACATGCATGTTTAGTTTAACTTATTACAATTTATATGAAATAACATTTAAACTTCATACAGGTTTGTAGATGCAACAAATTTTTATTTAAGACATTTTAGGTCATTTCTATTTTTTGCCAAAGAATTCACACATCTTACACATTTCAAACTTTTAGTTTGGGATATAAAAAACTCCTTTATTTGAACTTTTTCTACAAGTTTCCATTATTTCTATAGCAGCTTCATATAAAGTATGCACCAGGCTTTTAATCTTAGTGTGGATGCATTGCTCACAGCTCTAAAACTAAACATTAGTCAGTGCCGCTTAGCTTGCTGTAAATGATGGTTTAAGAAAATCTGTGTTTATTACATACTTCTGGTCCACTTTCCCCATACATTTCAATTTTAAATTATTTAGATCAACTTACATTGCATAAGGCTCAGAGACAAGTGTTTTTAGCTGGTTTCAGAGCTGCTAAGAAGTTGATTGCCACAAGGTGGAAACTTCAAATGCTCATTTGGCAGCAATGGCTGCTCACTTTCATGGATGTGCTTATCTTAAACTCTCCATAGCCTAAATCTGTGGAGCTAAAGAAGGCGTAGTTAAACTTTGGGCCCAAGCTGTGGAGAATCTTAAATCTTTACTGAACTGATTGCTTCATTGGTCTCTGCTCTCTAGCCGTTCATCTCCCATTTTTTGTCTTGCCTGCTTTTGGACAAGTTTTTTTTTTTGGTTTTTTTGTTTTTTTACATTTTTTGTGTGTGGCTGTTATGGTTCTCTTTGGTTGTTTGTTTTTTGCTGAACTTTTACTGTAGTTGTTCATACTACTGATATGTTTAGGGGTTTTTGTTTGTCCGAAAACATTGATCACAAAAACTTACTTTAAACTAATTGTCACTATACAGTTGTGAACTAAATATCACAAACTAATTCTCTGCCTTGCCTTTTCTGTGCCACTAATATATGTGATTGCGTCTTCAACTCCACACGCAAGTCTTCCTTTGTGTTCATGGTAATGCATGTCAGGAAGAGCACTCCATACACATTCACTGATTTATTCACAATATCTGCTGCAAACTTTTCTATTTGTGGTTGTGAAAAGCAAGGAGAGAAAAGCACTCATCAACAGCCAGTAATTGATTCTGGCACTCTTATAGTAAAGCGGTGCCCATGCTGAAATAACGTATTTCCTGGATGATCTTTTGTGGTGTAATCAGACACACACACACACACAAAACGTTTATTGATCAGTTACACATCTATATACTCATAATATATAGTAAAAAAATAGTTTGTCTTTGTGCATTTTTAACTTTAATGTATATCTCAACCCCAACTGTGTTTTAGGGTCTGATGATAAAACTGCATTTTTATTAGTCGAAACGAAGCTAAATCTTGAACTATCCAAAATGTAAAATAAACGATACACTATCTACAAGCTGAACGTGCACTTTTTTCCAGTTAAGTAACGGTAATATAGCTATAGCCCACCCTTTTCATTCTTTATGTTAATTATATTCTTGTAAAGGTAGACGGACACACATGCAAAAACAGAAACTTAAGCACTTGTTAAGTTAACCTGCATGTGAGTATAAACGCAGGAATAATTTGTGATATTAAAAACTAAAGAGAACCACTTTAGGCTCATTTTTAACGGAAGTGTTCAATTCATTCTTTTTTGTCTCCACTCGGTACTTGTGGTGGAGGTAAAGTGGCCAGTGACCTCAATTTCATACGTACAGGAGTTGATATGTCAGCATGGGGGAGGAGGGGGGTTGAGTTGATGGGCCCTATTAGTATTCGCGTCCTTTGGGTGCGCAGTGTTGCCAGCCACGTCAGGCCTGTAGCAACTGTTCTTCTACTGCCTCTCCAAGGTTAGATATAGGCCCTTCCTAATAGCTGGAAACACTCAAGGAAACAGACTGGGAGCCGACTTGAGACCGCGAGAGCAGGAATTAAGTTTTTCGACGTTTTCCGGCACAGTTGTACGCTGTGAAATTGTCGCCGTGGACACTGGCCGTGTTATTTCGTCTTAATAGGAGGTTGTATAGCTAAGAAAAGACTGTTACCGTCCGTCTTATTGGTGCTTAATGGAAACGCGCAATCATAAAAAATGGTTGCATTTGGAGAATATCCGTGAATGCGATCGTTCCCTCTTGACATCGGTGCGTCAGAAAAGACACCTCAGCTAGCTGGAGTCCGGGTTGGGTGTGAAGTCTTCACTGTGCACCGTGTGCTGCTGGAGTGAAGGTGACTTGCGCCCCGTCGCAGTCAAGGCAATGCGGAGAGGAGTCACGGGCGCTCATCCGGTACTTTACCTGCGCTCTAGGGCTCTTCTTGGGAAAAAATTGCTACCTTTCCCACATTAGGAGGAAAGAACGTAAGACATAGAGCAATAATAGCGTTCGAGTTTCAACACAGCCAATAGCTGGCGAAGGTGAGCTGAGCGTAAATCGAGGAGAGAATAAGGTGAACAGTAAGGTGCAGGGTGGTAAGGCAGGAAAAGAGAAAGTGGTGGAGTTTGGGGGGATAAGACCAAATCGTTCTGTCTTAGGGCTGTTTTAATAGTGGATGTGTATGCATGAGTTCTGCATCGAATGGGCGCAAAAATCGCCCCAGATCCGCCGGGAACATCTTCCAGATCGGCAAGCCTCCTTATCGAGACTCACAAAGGAGGGAGAGCACCGAAAGTACCCGCAAAGCCCAGCGCGCCGTGGCCGACTGCAGAATGGTAGGTTTGCGGCACGTTAGTGCCTGCATGGTGCCTCTGATAAGGAGTGCTGTGCTATTATCTCAACCTTTCTTTGTTTAAGGATGTTCCAGTACCCCGTGCATGCACGCCGCACAGGCGACAGCTCTTAATAGCTGCAAAAAAAAAAAAAAAAAGATTCTAACCCGGTCTAGCAGCCTAAAAATAGCTTTATGCATTTGCATTGCTTTGTCGGCAGTGAAGCCAAACAGAACACCTCGGCGTGCAGATTGACTGTGTGATTTGCATTTAAAGTGTGGAAAGCTGCTGGTGATTTGGAATGATTTCAGCATTGCCCGAATGACAAGATTACCCATGGTGGAGTGCATGATCTTGGCACATATGTGCTTTGACAGAAGCTGACAGGAATGATAAAGCCTACTTCAGCCTTTCATACATCAGTGATCGTCATGGAGCCTCGCTGTTCGTTTACAGGACTACAGCAGGATGCTATGCAGGAGGTGCACAAAAAGAGCAGAATACTTGTGCCCCAAGCTCAAATTTCGTGGTTGTGCAGACAACCAAATTTAGCATGATGGAAAACCAACCAATTCAACAATCAGCTGGTTTATCGTGCACTCTTACTTTGCGGGCTGTGCTTCACTTTCCGCGTTTTTCGCAAGGATCAATAAGCTTCGGTAACTGAACATGTGCAAGGCTGCAATTTTTGAAATGAAGCACATGACAGTCTAACTGCACATGGAGCATTATTTGTCCCCATTAGTCTGTTTGGGGGGGCTGTAAAATGCTGCTGCTCAGCATTTCCTTCTTGGCTCACGCGTTTTCATGTTGACAGGTCGGACTGAGGATAAAGACTATCCTGCAATTTATTTGTGTGATGCTTACTTGTCTGGTTCGTTAGGTAATAACTTTTTGTGTCTGTGTGACTTATTATCTCACTGTAATGCAGATCGTCCAAGAATTCAATACACTTGTGGCTCTGTACCGTGAGCTGGTCATCTCAATTGGCGAGATCACTGTCGACTGTCCTTCGTTACGGGCCGAAATGCTGAGGACCCGAACCAAAGGCTGCGAAATGGCGCGAGCGGCACACCACAGTCTCTCCTTGATATCGGGGTGAGTTGGCACAGACGCTGTCCGTGGTCCTGAAAATGAAGAGCCATCAGTGGCTGAACGCTCTGCAACACTGCAGCGCCGGAAGTTAAAAAAGTAGCTAATTTTACCAAAGTAAACCTGCACAAGTATCAACATTTGAGCTGCTGAATATTTTTTTGTGTGTGTTTTTATAAGAATGTTCTTTCGATAGGCCATCTAATGCTTGTCCCATTAAAGGACAGATTTTTTTTTTCGTGGTGGGCAAAGTATGTGGGAAAACAGAACATGAGATCAGCTTTTAAAAATCATGACATTTCTAATTTGTTAGAAGGAGAGCTTTACCAGGAAGCAATCACAACAACATACTGTAACTGATCACTTCCCATTAGCTGACCTAAAACGTTAATGCACAAAGTGGAGGGAAAGTGGAATGCTTCCCGGGACTAATATCTGAGATAATAGTATCAATAATGTGGAGCCAATGACGTTTTTTTTTCTTCTTTTTCTTGTAATTTATTGAGAGAGTGGCTTCTTCAGTACAGATTTTTTTTAAGAATCGGAATCCTTGGGAGTTTTTTTTCTTTTGCTCATCAAAAACAAATGATATTACAATGAAACAGTAAATTAAAGTGGTTAGATCCAAAGTTTGTTCACTGTTTAGTGATTCTGAGTAGATTTTCATGCTAAATTAGATTTCAAGTGGTTTGTTTGTGATGAAAGCTTTGATTCAAGATACAGGAAAACAGCTGTTTTAGGAGCCTGAAAGGACTGCTGTTTTGGCCCACAATATCTCCTCTACAATAGCGCCAGTAGAAGAAGGGCAAAGGGAGGCTTGGGATTTTAACATCATCAGTGAGGCTAAGATGCCAGCCAACTTGGCACACTCAAACTTACTTAAATAAAAATCGGACAGACTGAAGCCAGTGGTGAGAGAGATTTGGAGGACGTCTGCAGTGCCAGCTGCTTGCCAAAGCCTGGGTGCTGCTGGAACAATAACAGCATCATGATTTATCTTGCAGAAGGGGCATATTCCTACCACTGGACATACTGTATATTTAAACCACGAGAGATCCTTTTTTATTAGAAATTATTTGTCACCATATTTTTTACAAGCTCCAGTTTTAAAAAGTGTTAAGCTGAATTCTTTTCTATTTTAATTCACTCTAGTGGGGTTTTAAAACTACATGTTTGATGCGTGACACTGAATATGTTCAGTGCACATCTCCCATCGTGCACATGCATGAATCATGAACGCAACTTTATTTGAATAGGAGCATTTAGTTGCTTTAAATAATAATATACCTTAATGCAGCAGGGCAGTGGTGGAAAATGAACCATTTCACTGTTGTTTTTCAACTGCATGGCTCATAATTATACACCTAAATATAGTTATACCTGTATCTGCAGAAAAAATACTATTAGCCATTGAAACTGTGCTCTTAAATGTTCCAGCTTCTGCTGCTAAATGGAGATGGTGCAGTAGCTTTAGAGAGAACTCTTAAATTCTCACTGATAACAGCATCTGCATCATTGCCATTATTATCACCAGCACATATTCTAAAAACTCCTTCCCTAAAAGCTCTCTCGGCCATCTAAGTGTCTGTCTCCGCTACTAGAGACACAGAGCTTGAATTAAACCAGTTCATTCCCCTTTAATAAAATAAACCCAGTGTGTCAGAATGGTTTGAATGATGCGAGGTCCCTCCAATGTGCAGGGGGAAAGCTGATTAGAGGGATAGCACTGGTGACAGCTGTGCTTGAGCAACAATAAAGCGGCACTGTGACAAAACGGTGATGGCAAGGAGAAGCTTGCTGTTGGAAGAGGTGAATTCTAGAGCATGATTTGTGTGAGAAAGATTTGTACCAAGTTTCACGCCTTTTATCGCTGTCACTTTCCCATGTGATATTACACCCACTGGATATCACCTGCTGTTTCCCTTTGAAAACCCGATTAATATAGTTGTGAAGCTACTGCGATGTCTCATAAAAGCTAATGATCAGCTCCGGTTGAATGAAAAATATTGTGACGGGCTTTTGTGTTGCTTGAATCTCTTCAGTGCATTTTATTTATATATTCTCAGGGAGTTAAGTAAGCACTACATATAGACGCTTGCACAATCACAGAGACAGCAGCAATTTGAACTTTGCTGTAAAAAACATGGATAAGAAGCACAGTATGTTTATTATCATTGCAGACTCTATAGGCTTACTTTAAGCTTTGATTGGGAAACACTCTGCTCAAACATTTTAATGCATATTTGAGTTCATAAACCTCTCTGGCCTTAAAACCTGGTATTAAGAATTTGCTGTTATTCTTCAGGTTACAGATTTTCTGTAATCACGCACAGAAAATACCACGAGTATCACCAGGTCCAGGTCCTCATTTATTCACTTAAGTAAAGATATTTCCAAGTAAAAGCATGTGACTTGCATTTGTCACAGATGTGACACAGATGTGCACACTGAAATTACAAGAACAGGCAGTGCATAAGTTACCAATGTAGGTGATCATATTTCTTCAACAGATATTGCATTTACAGTTTAAATGAGTCAAACAAATTAGACATGTCAGTAACACATCCTGAGAGTGGAATATATTTTTCTTTGTTTTAACTTTTTGGTTTAGTACTAATATTTATTTAAGCTGCTGCTGGTTTGAGACTCAAGATTAGCACATACACGGATGAATTAACAACTACTGTAATGCTCATAGAGACTTGCAGAGACTATTTTGTCTACCAAGTTCCACCTGGCTGGTAAGCTTTGTTCTCTTCATGTGCCATTTCAGGCCAGAGGACGGGGAAATCCACCCTGAGATCTGTAGGCTCTTCATCCAGCTGCAGTGCTGTCTGGAGATGTACATCACAGAGATGCTCAAATCTGTGTGCTTGCTGGGATCGCTGCAGCTCCACAGGAAAGGTTAATACACAGACAAGCCTCATGGATAGTTTATAGATAGTATGCTTTGTTTTGTTTTTAATTTTTTTAAAGAAACATGTGGACAAATGGGATTTTGTATCTCTAACGTCACCGTCATTCCAGTAATGCCATCACTAAACCGATCAGTAAACTCAAATAACTGTGTACAAATGACATAAATAATTTAGGTCAGTATCTAGTGAGGAAACACGATTAAGGCATTTCTCTGTGTGCTTTAGGTAACGACTCATGTGGCCCTCCCGGCTTAGATGGTAAAACGGAGGAAAGCTCAGACATCCCCATTCTGGAGGACACCTCTTCCTCCCCCACTGACTGTCCTCAGCTCTGCTGGCTGGTGGCCACTGACATAGAAAACATAGAAAAGTAGGTAAACAAAGTGTGTTCTGTTGTGTCCTTCGGGATGTACGTAGGTGCTGTGTCTGCACTTGCGTTTTTATTATGATTTAACAAATATTTCACATATATTTTGGTGGGTAATCTGTTACATTTCCTATAAGAACATAATGCAAAGTATCGTATCACATTAAATTGCATTTTAATACACTGGGAATACATGTTGTATTATAAGATTCATTGGGATGTTTATATTTTTTTTTATCAGCTAAGGCTTTCTTGAAATTACATTTATGTAGTTTGTGTGGGTCTATAGTTTTACCTCACAGTTGGATTTAAGATTTGAGTTTACAAAACAATAGAAGTATACCAAAAATAATCAGATATTTGTGTCAAAGCTTCAACATTTCAAAACAAAAAGTATACACACTTATTTTACTACTACTACTACTTATTTTTCTAGACACCGTGTGTGTTTACGACTCCTGCTATGAAATACATTATGAAATAAATTGAAATACAGTCCCTAGGTTAACATTAAGTTAAGAGTTCGAGTTAGGGAGGAAAGTCTCCAGAAAATCCAATAATGGAAACCTGATTTTGTGCTTTTCTGAATGCGAGTATGTACTGCATATATTATGGATACTTTATGTACACAACATAAAAAGCCATTTGCATTACTGCAGGGATATGAGGGAGATGAAGAACCTTCTCAGTAAACTCAGGGAGACAATGCCTTTACCACTGAAGAACCAAGGTGAGAAAGAAAACGCAAAAAGCAGTAACACTTTCAGAATTATTCATTGTGAAGCAGAGGTACTGGTTTAAGTGGACTGCATCGTAGCTCAAATGAGGAAAAATGCATGACTTGGCTGTGGTGTCTGTGTGTTCTTTCGCCCAGATGACAGCAGTTTGCTGAACCTGACTCCCTACCCACTAGTCCGACAGAGGAAGAGGCGGTTCTTTGGGCTCTGTTGCCTGGTAACCAGCTAAGGGCCCCGCCTTTGTGGGTAGGAGGCGGCAACAAAGACACCATTACCCACTGTCCTTCACCACTTGTGTCTCCCACCAATCTATTACTGCCATTTTCAAATAAATTGTCTCTTTCTCTTTTTTTTAACGGCTGCCCATTTTATAATTTTATTTTGTAATACGAAGAAGAATTGTAACTGCAGTGTAATGAAAACAAAAGTCATGAACATATATTTTAAGATATTTTGCAACAGATTTTCCCCTTTTTTGGTAAATGAAGTGCGATATCTGCTTGTCTGATGTAAAAGGGAATGAGAGTTTGTCTGAAATGATAATATCAATGTTCTGTTACTTCCACAAGCCTGAGTGAATGATGTCGATTTATGTTTTTATTTTTTTTAAAAAAAAAGGGAATCTAAATGTCCATTTTGTCAGAAATAATGTGATAACTTATGAACAGATGCCATTCACACATCTGTGGACGGCTCTTGCAATGACAAAGTTTTACTGTCGTTTGTCTAAGCTGAAATGACAGGTTTGTGAAGAATACGTTTGTGTATTACAGTCTCCGTTTTCTGTTCCTTGCTGTTTTTCTTCTCAATGTACTTAATTTAGTCTTCCATAAAACAAGAACCTGTACCCAACTTAAACTTTCCAGCTTCAAAGTGGAATAGAAGATACAATAGTCAAAAGAAAACTTCTTTGCACACAATATCTATCTATAAATCGAGACATTAGACTTGTATATACACATACTCTTTACGCAATGCTCTCTGAATTATTTTCAAGGTTGCACGTGGTTAGTAAAGAAGCTGTTGGTATAAGCAGAGAGCATCTCTCTCTCTTGGGCAGTCAAGCAGACAGAGCGCAGCTTATTAAATATAGTGATCACTGTTTATGGCAAGCTGAAGGTACAGTAGTCAAAGCTGATATAGGTCATTTTACATTGTTAATAAAACTTTTGTTATTGAAACTCATCCACCAGTGTTTGTCATTGTCTTGCATGAACTGAAATGTCCACCGGGTGGAGACAAACAATCAACAGAGACAAACTTGTCTAGCACGTTCTGGTAAAGCTCAAACAGTAAAATTACACTGAATTAATTAGATAAATTGACTGTGTTAAATGCAAATTAGGTGGTTTGCATTCAAAGAACAAACATGTATGCCATTATTTGTGCTTTTTTTTTTCTCTCTTTCCTTCTTTCATAGATAGATAGATAGATAGATAGATAGATAGATAGATAGATAGATAGATAGATAGATAGATAGATAGATAGATAGATAGATAGATAGATAGATAGATAGATAGATAGATAGGATTTTTTTTTACCACATCTCACCCAAAAACCATCAATTTGTATGCATTATCCCTTCAAGAATGGCAGCTCAGATGCACTTTTAACACCTTTCCCCCAACTATCAGTCTTTGTGATCAACATCTCAAACCTAGAAAATCATTCTGCTGACCATAAGTATTTTTTGAATTGATGATAAAACATTAAGTAGTTGGTGTCTTCACAGCTATTCACGGACAGGTTCAGACACACATGCAGACATGCATTCACACTGTGCGAGGGCTGCAAGCCAGAGGCAGGAATAGACTGTCAGCAGGGGTTTGCTTCGCAGGATGAGCTTTGTCGGGTTTAGTAAGCACAAGACATCTTTTGTGAGAAGCCCTACACTTTCTCGAGCCTGAAAAACAGATTTCCAAACATTACCTCTCAAACCCAAGCAACAGTCCATTATGCTATGTTTGTCTGTGAGAATATTACATATCTCTTGGTCTCAATATTAGTAATACAAAAGAAGAAAGATCAAACATGACTGATGTGCTTTTTATTTATTGTTAATACAGTATTGTTCTATTTTTACGCATGCAAAAAATGTGCCTTTAAAGTGTGCTAAATCTTAGCATAAAAAAAACAAAAAACATTGGCTACACAAAAAAATTTGTGGAATATTTCAAAGTGGGATAATAAAAGAAGACCAAAAAGAGAGGTCAGTCAATCAGCTCCTGCCCTGAATGCTCAGGAGGTGCAGGGCTGGATACTGACAACAAACACTTTTTCTCCCTTACATCGCCGAAGTCCTGCTTCACATTCACTCATGGTCTGTGTGGCCGCAGTCTCATCCTCTCCAACACGGACACACACGTTATACCCAGGGTTCGCACAATCTGCAGAGTCCTTACAGCGACAGTCATTGGCTTGATCTGAGAAAATCGTGTGAAGACAAACAGCATGAATTACTACAAACTGCTGTACATTATAATAGATCATTTGTCACTTCACATGTTCATACCATCGCAGTTCTCCCACATGTGGCAGCCGGTGCAACCTGTTGTATCACGCTGTGGCCAAATGCAGGTGCTGTCCTCTGCTGTCATATATTTCTTCCCCATACATTGCAATGCATTCATTTTGCACACATCCAGAAGGACCGATTTTCTACCTACAGCAGCTGTGGCACACAACTTCAAAGATGAACTGGCCGGTGGGCACAAAGCACAAAAAACACAGTAAATCAGTATCATTAGCCAGTTTGCCAAAACTGACATGACCAAATTATTTATTAGCAGAATAGACATACCCACACTCAATAGGCATTTTGCAAACACATTTTCCCCTGGAAGGCTTCTCCCACAGTTTACACTGCACTCCAGGAGCAATGCTTGGTTCTGGTGCGCTGTCTGTGGAATACACAGAAATCACTGTTCCACATTGTCTACTGATTCTCTACACTGAATGACTAAATATAGAGCTCATCATATTTCATATTGTTACATAGCAGCCCAGGACAGTCCTTTAGCAGAGAGCTAAAGGATTATAAAGCTTGATGTAAAATTTACCTTGGATGCACCTGACGTCTGCTGGGTTTGGTGAAAAATCCAGACTGGGATTGCAAATAGCCGTGGCTTCGCCTGTTAGCCGTTTACCCGATGGGCAGGAGAATGTTACTAACTCTCCTATGCCATAGGTCTCCTTTAAAGGAGAGGCTATGACACCATCTGCAAGGAGTCCAATCTGGCAACTTGTAACTTGAAGAAAATGTGTAATTTTACAATGTGACACAGCAATTCATTATTATGATACACTAAATGTTAAACTTTATTTACTCACCTGTGCACAATCCAGGCCGGGCAGACCAGGTTTGATCAGCAGTGCACTCTATGGTGCTGTGACCAACAAGATAAAAACCTTCAGTGCAGGTGTATTCAACTTTACTACCCACAAGATAAATGTCCTTTGGATCCTGTGACACATGTAATAAAGATAAGATCATCAAGTTCAACTTCTTAGCTTTGATGTGGGTATGTAACTCAGCTCGGTTCAGTTTTATTTATGTTCACAACAAGGGTTGCCTCAAGGCACTTTATAAGACACTACCACTTGTAGTTCCCCTATGAGGAACAAGTGGCAGCAGGAAGAGCAGCCATTTGCCAAAAATGGTTGGAGGATGAGCACAGAGGAGAACATAGAGACACAAGGACAAAACACATCTCTATTATGGGGAAGAGAAGATATAAAATTCAGCAAAAATATTTAAAGATAACTAATAAACTCAGTAACATTGAGGCAGACTCTCTTTCACTTAGATAGGAGATACTAGAGCTTCAGTTTCAAGTCTCTTCCCGTAACTCTTTTTCTAACACTGTACTGTGACTTTGTGCAAAACACTGTTCAAGCACTACAAAAGTAGCAGTTAGTCTGGTTAATAAATACTAAATGTTTGCAATCATTTGTTCCACACCATGGTGAAAATTTCTATTTTTACCAGAATGTAGCCATTGATCAGAGCAGGTGGGGTTCCACACTTCTGACTTGCTGGGAGAGTATAGTCGAAGCACTGAGGCTCCATAGTTCTGTAGAAAAAGTATGTGTTGCATAACTACATATTGATGAAAATCAGTTTGACACATTATCTTACTGGAAACTCAATGCAATGAACACAGTGCTTGTTACAAATATGTCACTAAATTCACACAGCACAAACAAACAAACAAAAAAACTCATAAAACCCACAAAACAAACTTAAGCTCTCACCTTAAGTATTGCAGCTCTTCATCTTCGCAGTCGGATGTCTCAGCTGGTTCTCCGATACAGTGCTGTCCCCCATTCTGAGGGTAGGGGTTAGAGCAGGAACGACTACGAGACCTTCGGCCCCCAGAGCACGATGACCAGGCAGACCAACAGGTCCAGCTACCATGGATCACTCCTTAATGACCAGAAATGGAAAATAAGAAATAGAAAGAAATTAAGGACAATAATAAAGTCTGTCTGATATTAACCTCGATTAAATCCTACCCCCACCCATGATAGTGACTTAACCCAATTTAACAGTTTGTTAATTTCCTTGTTTTCATCCTGAAAGTAAGCCTGACACCAATCTCACATCTGCCAGCCCCACAGGGCTATTTTGGCATTTCTAAGCATAATCACAACACAAAAGCGAAAAGCTAAAAGGAAAAAGAACACTTGTTTTTTAAAGGGGGTTTTCACTGCAATGTGCCCCTTTTAGACTTTAAAAGTAACATTGGTGAGCTTAAAAAACTACAGTAATAAAGATCCTGTATGAAAGACAATACACACCCTGCTGCCCTTCTGCTTCAGTTCCTTGCTCACAGGCTGGTCCTGACGTGTTAGGCTTGCAGATGCACTTACATTCATCTCCATCCATGACAACCATTCCATTGTTCCTGCATGGCCGGCAGTGGCAGGGGGCACTTTCAGCAAGGTACTGATCTATGGCCCTGCGAAGGTAGAGCTTCTTCAAACCAGGACACTGAACCTCCTTCACCAGCTCTGACAGCGGCCGCAGCTGGAGAAACAATAGTAAAATAAAAGCGATGCAAGGTTGCATTAAGTGATAAGATGAAATCCATATAAGATTCATTAAACATTATGATCTTGCTTTTTAACATACAAATAGCTTATTTTACGTTCTCTTTACCTTTTGTTTTATGACCTTTGGAAACGACCTAACAGACTCTGCCCAGTTTGAGTACATTTCCCAGTTTCTCTCTGGATTATCTAGGTTCATCATATTCAGCGCTGCAATATGTGAGACACCTCCTCCCTCCACGTCCACTTTTTTCAGATTATTGCTCCTCCTGCTTCCTATTTTTAAAGGTTTGAAGAGATAGTGGATGGCAGAAAAACTTATAGAGGTAAAGTGCTTTTATAGGTACTGGTATATGTAAAATTATCATCCAAATTGTACCTGTGCCTGATGAGTGAGTGCTCTGGCCTCGCTTACAGTTCACTATGGTGATGGGGAATATGAGAATCCAGCGTTTAGTCCTTGAACATTCGTCATACTGCTCACTTTCGCTGACTTGAAAACAAAGGAAAACGTAAAGTCAGTGTCAGAAAAGTGAGGCAGGACTAAAGCAGG